TGAGGCAGGAGAATGGCATGAACCCGGGTGGCGGAGCTTGCAGTGAGCTGAGATCCGGCCACTGCACTCCAGCCTGGGCGACAGAGCAAGACTCCGTCTCAAAAAAAAAAAAAGAAAGACTAACTGCAGTTAGTCGTTGATTGGATCCTAGGTATCCCTTCCCCCAAAAAAGGCAGGGAGAATAAAGAACACTTTTGAACAACTGGGAAAATTTGGGTATGAATGAATATCAGTTAATAATATCATGTTAATTTTAAATTCCTTGGGTGTGATTCTAGGAAAATGCCTTATTCTTTGGAGATTCACACTAAAGTATTTGGAGTGCAATGTCATTATGTCTACAACTTATTTTCAAATGGTTCAGGGGAAAAAAACATTGTGTGTGTGTATATATTTATATAGAGAGAGATATAAAGCAAATGTGGCAAAACATTAATAATTCGTTAACCTAGGTGAAAGACATATGCATAGTCATTGTTTAATTCTTTCAGTTTTTCTGCAATTTTGAAATTTTTCAAAATAAAAGTTGGGAAAACCAAAAACCACAAAGATAGTTCACTATTAATGTCTTTGAGGGAAAGGGAATGGGGAGACACTAACTCATGTATGTGAAAATTTTTTCTGATTGGCAAGTATATTCCAAGAGTAGGATGAGTAGGATTGGATGCCTTGTTATAAAATTATACAAACAGAATTATGTTCCAATTTTGTTCTCTAAGAAAACTTCCAACCTTAATGTTCAAAGTAGACTTTTCCAATTAGGAAGAATGTATGTTATGGAGTCAATACAAATATTTCAGTCTAATTGGCAATTACAGTCTTAACATAAAACTAATAAACATGTATTCTGGCTTATCAATTAATCTAATCTCGTCTGAGTTTAATTACTTTAAACAAGCCCTTAGAATCTACTGACTTACAAGTACATGGATAAAATTGAGTTCTTATTCTTGCAAACTGAGACTACGCTAGGGTAGTGAAAACATCTTAACTAGATTTTGCTTACACGTTTTATACTCTGGCTACATGGCACCAATCTGAAAAGCAGCTGCAACATTACTTAAAATCAGGAATCCAAATCTGTCCTTAGGAAAGAATCAGTGTTCAGAACTGGTATGTTCAGTGCACAATTGCTGTGGTGATGTCATGCTCTCCCTGGCCAGGTCTGAGCCTCAACAGATGAGAGACAGACATTCATGGCAAATGGAACCACTCTTCTCATTCCTCCTATGGGCCCCTCGCCTCTCCTCCCTGCCCTTGGGCAGTATGTGGGATGCAGGGATGTGGAATCCGGCTGACCTCGTTTCCTCCACCCTCTGCCTCATGGCATCTTGGCAGGACTGGGGGGTCCTCTAAGACAGCAGGCACCCCTTGCTGGCCTCTTATGGCCATTGCCTTCCAGGCAGCCTTTCTTCACGGTGGCGAGAGCTACCCCACAAGCCCATCAGGCTGCTCTTCCCTGCTTGCACCAGTGTTGGCTCTGCTAGACCTTTGCTGTGCTCCTGGAGTGCTCCAGGTTGTCCCTCAGGTGCCCCAGGCCGAGCAGTGGTGTCCTTCCTGTTTCCAGTGCCCAATCCTCCAGTCGCCACTGCAGTGTCTGCATGTGGGACCTGGAAAGTTTTGGGGAGGGTCGAGATGGTTTTTTTTTTTTTAATTTAGTTTTAAATTATTTTTAACTTTAAAAAAATCTGGTATGTTTAAATGAAATACATTAACTGAATCAGAACAACATTAAGGATGGAACAGTTCCTCCCTACCCACCTATCAAAGAAGTCTATAATGGGTCAACTGCACGGTGCTAGCAGAGGAGGGAGAATGTGGGGGTGGAACAGAAAGTGAGGGGGTTGGAAGATTGGTCACATTGAGCATATAAATAAATTGAGGATAATGAACCCCAGATTTCTCACTCCTGGAGAAGATACTTCAAACCTATCAAACGGAAAGGTGAGAAAGAACCCTGAAGTATTGCTTCAGAATTAAAGGGATCAGTATGAGCTATTTTATTTTATTTTATTTTACTTTACTTTATTTTATTTTATTTTGAGACGGAGTCTTGCTCTGTCACCCAGGCTGGAAGGCAGTGGCGCGATCTTGGCTCACTGCAATCTCCACCTCCCAGGTTCAAGTGATTCTCCCGTCTCAGCCTCTTGAGTAGCTGGGATTACAGGAGCACACCACCACATCCAGCCAATTTTTGTATTTTTAGTAGAGACGAGGTTTTACCATGTTGGCCAGGCTGGTCTCAAACTCCTGACCTCAAGTGATCCACCTGCCTCGGCCTCCCAAAGTGCTGGGATTATAGGCCACCACGCCCAGCCCTTTTAGTATATATATACACAGACACAGAAATAGTCATAGATGTGTGTATGTATATATGTGTATATTTCCTAGCTATGTTTGGTGAGAGGACATACTAAGTGTGTTAATCTCGGTTTCTAAATATTTATCCTACGAAACTGATTAAGGAAATGGCTGATTCCGGCCAGGTGCGGTGGCTCATGCCTGTAATTCCAGCACTTTGGGAGGCCGAGGTGGGCATCACCTGAGGTCGGGAGTTCGAGACCAGCCTGACAAACATGAAGAAACTCTGTCTCTAGTAAAAATACAAAAATTAGCTGGGTGTGGTGACGCATGCCTATAATCCCAGCTACTCGGGAGGCGGAGGCAGGAGAACCACTTGAACCCGGGAGGTGGAGGTTGCGGCGAGCTAAGATTGTGCCATTACACTCCAGCCTGGGCAACAAGAGTGAAACTCCGTCTCAAAAAAAAAAAAAAAAAGAAAAGAAAAGAAAGAAAGAAATGGTTGATTCCAGGTCTGAGGCAGGAAAAGTACAAGCTTAGCCTAGAAATCTTGTATCATAAAGTAAGCAAATGTTCAAAGAATGATGGGAACACGTCAAAGAAAAAAAAAAACACGCAGGAGCCAACTTGAAGGGACTTTTATTCCAGATATAGGACAATTTGAACACCTAAACAAATAATGAGTATGCTGGATTATAAGTAACTGAATAAATTAGGAACCCACATATCCACGTGGACATTAATTTTAAAAAATAAGTGTATAAATTGGGAAGAAGAGATAGTTCTTCCTTATAATAGAATGTCAATTAACAAATGTGGAAGTAATCAAATGTGGATAGAAATAAAAAATTAACCTTTGGCAACCATCACAGTAGTGGTCAACAATGGAGACTAATGCTAGTGAGTTAAAGGTTAGTGAGGAAGTGTAATCTCAGAAATACGCCCCACAAAATACTAATCAACTACAAATGGTAAACGGTAACTTTATGGTAGTCATGGTGACTTTAGGGCAGGTGATCAAGGTTAACAGCATCAGTGGTGGCATAGGTAGATACTGTGTGCCCCTGGATGTGATGCAGTCCACTGAGAAGAACATGACATCTTTTTTGTGGCTTTCATCTAAGCAGGTACTCAGTATGAGGAAAGTATCTACAGGATGGTAAGGTCTGTAATCTTCAAAACTGTTGCATTCATGAAAGACAGGAAAACACTGAGGACCTAGTTTCAGATTGGAGGAAGCTAAAGGGACATGACCACTAAATGATTGGGGATCTCAGACCAGAAAGAACAAAGAGTCATTGCTGGGACTTCCAGCAAAATTATTTCAACTTAAATTTTTTGAAAAAGGAAAAAAGGAAAATTAAAGGCCTGCAAATTTAATAATCATATACAGATATGCACTCCAATCTGGAGAAGAATGCCCCAGAAGACACATATCTTGTTACAGATCAGCCAATTTTTGGATAATCTCAGAGCTCCCTATGTATTTTAGCTTTTATTTTGCTGTCTTGTAACTACTTGGTACTTGCCTGTCTTCCTCACAAAACTATACTGGAGGAGAGGAATTTTTGCCGGATTCATCAAGATCCTAGATCCCACCCTCATTATTGCCATCCTCGCAGTCCTCTTAATCACTCCTATATTCAATAATAATATTAACAATAATGATATTAACAACCAGATCACACCTTGTCCACCCTTAACTCTGGCGTACTAAGCATCTTCAATGTTCATTCATTAATTCCTATTCTAACTCTCAGTCATCTAACTCCTGTTCTCTCTGATTTGCAACTTCTGTAGTTCCAATTCCTCTACTTACTTTCCATTTTATACCCTAGAAGTGGTTATGACCAGCACCTGCTGCCAAAGCGCTAACTCTAGGCCTCAATGCTCTCATCCATAAAATAAGAAACAATTGGCTGGGTGTGGTGGCTCATGCATGTAATCCCAGTACTTTGTGAGGCTGAGGTGGGTGGATCACGAGGTCAGGAGTTCGAGACCAGCCTGGCCAACATGGTGAAATCCTGTCTCTACTGAAAATACAAAAAATTAGCCAGGCGTGGTGGCAGGTGTCTATAATCCCAGCTACCTGGGAGGCTGAGGCAGGAGAATCGCTTGAACCCGGGAGGCGGAGGTTGCAGTGAGCCGAGACTGCGCCACAGCACTCCAGCCTGGGCAACAGAGCAAGACTCCATCTCAAACAAAAATACAATAAAATAATAAGGAACAATCTGGCCAAATGAGAATAATCCTGATTTCTCTAATGATTACTATGTACAGACACTGTGATAAAGGTATTTTTATTATGTCCAATTTACAGACAATCAACTGAAGCTTTGAAATCTTCTCAAGGTCCAAGGATACAAAACTAATGACTTGCAAATCCAGGGTTCAAATCTAGAGTTTCTGGTGCCCGTAAATGCATTATACTGCATCCTACACAGAACATATACCAGATATTTCTGGTGTAAACATTCTGTAGCACACTGAAAAACAAACAGGCTATGGTACAGACTCAGTACTGTACTTAGAAATTATAATGCTGAATTATTAGACTAATGTTTCTTAGATTGATTTTTTTTTCTGTTTTAAAATGATTTATACAAAAGTGTTTCTCATTCTAGCCTGAAATTAATTACTAATGGATGAAATGTAGAAAATTTCTTAACAACAGAACAAAAAAATTGAAGCATACTCACAACTTCTCCATAACGTGCAGTTGAAATTCTACGTAGAGGAAAATTCCCTGTGTTGCTGAAACATAATCCCCCTGTCTTCATAAATAAATGAGGGAAAAAATAGAAGCTTATGAAAAGGCATAAGCAATTGAATTAAAAATATATATACTTTATCAATTTGGTTAGCCTTACTAAAATGTTAGGTTCTGAACATGCACAGGACTTGCTGGTATTAACAAATGTTGGCTCACATCGGACGCACCTGTTCAATATAACAAAAATAATTTTTAAAATGTTAATAAATTATACTAAACCTAATTTAATAGAAAAGCTGTCTTTCTAAACAATGGATTAGAGTAGATTCATTCAGCAAGCAATTATGTAAATATGTTAAACAAATTTAAAATAACACGGATTTGAATAGTTTTAGGCCATTCTGTGTTACAAAGTATAAAGTAAGTAAAACTAATCAATAGAAGAGTATTTTTTAACTACATGGAATGTACAGAATGAATAATTCTGAATATCAAAGATAATTAAGTCACTCAACTAACAAAAGAGACCAACAAACTCATTCAAATGAAACCCAATCAATTTTTACAATTGGTCATATCAAATATACTTTCCTTATTTTATGTGCCACAAAGTAAAAAGGTAGCATAAGCTGAAGAGAAATGTATCTCTAGCTCCTATCAAAGCTACAGCCAACACTTTTAAATAAATTCTATTTATCATCTTTGTTTATTTTAGAAAAATACTTCATATTTTTCATTAATGAATGAGATAGATGGGGGAGGGTACTGGACCAGTGATGAGTGAATATATAGGTATTCTTCACTTGCAAAATAGAGCAGGTAGGAGTGGGGCTGGGGCATGACGTAAAACAGACCAGGCTTGGGGAAACATTAGAGGGGCAAAAAAAATCGATATTTGGATGCCGTAACTCAGGTCAGCCTCAGAGAAAAGATGATCCAACACTAAGTAGCCCTCAGAAAAGCTGCTCAGCTATTTTCTATATTAAACTTGGAAACTAAAGAAAAAACTGTGCCTGGAGGGAAGTCATGATGTAGGCCTCTAAAAAAATTAAAGAAGCTGAAATTGGTATACATGCTTAAATTAGAGGGAAGTATATAGGCAGGCAGGGGTGTGTGTGTGTGTGTGTTTCACAAACACATGCACAAAGGGGGAACAGGAAGCAACAGAAAATGGGACTATAAATCAGGGTACCTGAGCTATTATTAGTATACATTAATGTTTTATGTATTATAAGGGCTTTAGTACAGTACTTAGCACATAATTATATTATAGATTATATACCAGTTACATAACAACAAACAAAAATAGCTACCCTTTACAGAGTGGTTACTATGTAGCACTATACTAAGAACTGTACTTACTTATTTCTGAGCCATTACAGCCTATGAAGTGGGTGGCAATAGTACCATTCCAAAGACAAGGGATTGTGAAGTAGTGAGCTATCCAAGGTCAGACTACTAATAGACTGGACCAAAATTTGAACCCTAGTGTGTCTCATGCTCTAGGCATCAGCTTCTGTATCTGTTAATGTCTACTTCTATCCTTCCTTGGGTTATTGTGAAAACTAAGTGAACTAAGTGATATGATAGGAAAACATTCTTAAAAGTACAAATTATACATTAGTATAAGATGATATTAAAGAAGTCAGCCCCATCACACTGCTTACCTGTCTCCTAAAACATTTGCTACCATAAAAGAGTTTTCATTTCCATCACAGAGCTCACAAGTTGCTTGAGACAACAATGTTCCATTAATATCTCTTTCCACTAAACAGTTTAGAAACAAAAAAAAGATGTAACTCATAGTAAACATATAAGCTTCTACATATTCAGAAAATATTTAACAAAACCCAAGTGTAACTATTATTCTATTAATTTTCAAAACACTTTATTTGCATTAAAGGCATAACAAGTATCTCAATAATAAAGTATAGTGATCCCTTCATACCCATGCATGCCTCCAAAAAAAAAAAGAGAAGTGATGCCTTCCCTATTTTCACATAGTAAAATACAGAAAATCATTTTCCAAGTCATCATAACAATTAAGTCAGTACTTTTTTCCTCAAAATTGTCTTACCTCTTATCTATACATTTCTGTCACACTGGGATAGTGAAGCAAGTATTTTCGTAGATTACTGATAAGTTTCTGCGACTTAGAAGGCTTTTAGTAGTATCTATTAAAGTTTCAAATTCACATCCTTACAACACTACAATTTTGTTTTTAGATACCTAACCTGCAGAAACACTTGAACATGTACATAAGTATATTCATTGAAGCATTATTTGTTAGAAACAACATGAATATTTAAAATAGCAGAATGGTGGTATATCCATGCTACAAAATACTATGGAACAGATGAAAAAGAATCAGGTAAGGCCAGGTGAGGAGGATCATGCCTGCAATCCCAGCCCTTTGGGAGGCTAAGATGGGTGGATCACATGAGGCCAGGAGTTCAAGACCAGCCTGGCCAACATGGCAAAACCTTCTCTCTACTAAAAAAATACAAAAATTAGCTGGGCGTGGTGGCTTGTGCCTGTAATCCCAGCTACTCAGGTGGCTGAGGCATGAGAATTGCTTGAACCTGGTAGGTGGAGGTTGCAGTGAGCTGAGATCACACCACTACACTCCAGCCTGGGCAAGAGTGAGACCCTGTTTCAAATAAAAAAAAAAAAAAAGAATCAGCTAAATCTAACAGAGTATCAGAGTATACCATTAACTGAAAAAAGTATGCTAGAACAATATTTGTGTATGAAACATTTATGCAAACATACCACTTATGTTTCCTGTGGCTATATAATGTAGATCCTTATAACAGGGAAAAAATTCTGAATGTGCACACACACACGTGCACACACACATGTACACACACACACACAGTTACTTTGGGGTTGAAGGAGCAATAGAAAAACAGTATTGGGAAAAATGGTCAAAAAGGACTTAAGTCTTATCCATAATGTTTTAAGTTTTTGCATGGTAGTAAAAAGTAATTTTAACAAAAGTAAAGATGAGCAACTTGTTCCTCCTACAGTCACCCCTGTCTCAATAAATGACAGCTCCATTTGACCATTTACTGTGGTCGCAGTCCTTAAGAGTCTCCTCATGTTCCATATTAAAAAAATAAAAATAAAAAAATTAATGTGCAAATTCTGTCAGCTCTCTCTTCAAAATATATTCAGACACAGAATTATTTTCTCTACCTCTACAACTAATATCGTGGCCTGCCGGGTACAGTGGCTCATCGTGGCCTGCCGGGTACAGTGGCTTATCCCGTAATCCCAGTATTTTAGGAGGTCAAGGCAGGATGATTGCTTGAGGCCAGACATTCAAGACCAGCCTGGACAACATAGCAAAACCTCATCTCTATACACACACACACACACACACACACACACACACACACACACAGCTGGGTGTGGTGGCACGTGCCTGTAGTCCCAGCTACTCAGGAGGCTGGGGCAGGAGGATCACTTGAGCCCAGGAGGTCGAGGCTGCAGTGAGCTGTGATCATGCCACGGCCCTCCAACTTGGGTGACAGAGCAAGAGCCTGTCCAAAAATAAAAAATAAAAATAAAAATAAAAGAAAGAAAAAAGAAAAAACTCTGGCCCAAGCACCATCATCTATCACCTGGGCTTTTGTAACAGCACCTTAACTGGAGTGCTGGTTTTGTGCTCCATGCAGAAGCTAAAGTGAAGCTTTTAAAACTTCAGTGTGATCATGTCACTCTTTTGCTTAAAACCTTCCAAATGGCCTCCCATCTCACATAGGACAATTTCAAAGGTCACTAACACAGCATAAAGGTCTTACATGATCTGCACACTATCACCCCAATTTTTCAGACCCAGATGCTTCCACTTTACTTTACTTCTTTGCTTTAGCCACATTAGTGTACTTTCCGTTCTCTGAAAAATGCCAAATATACTCCCATCTTAGAATCTTAGTACTTGCTATTCCTTCTGCTTAGAATGATGTTCCCCAGTCATCCTCATGGCTCTCTGTCCCTCCCTTCCTTCAAGTCTTTCTTAGATTTCACCTTTCCAGAGAGGACTACCATGAAAATGTATGTAAAATAATACCCTATTCTCTCTCCCTTCTCTTGCACCATAGAGAATTTTAATCACGAAATAGTACCCTCTAAAATAGCAAAATACTGTTTCCACAGCTGTAACCTAACCCGAAGGGGCCAGAAGATGTCAGAGCCACTGTTTAGAGAAAGCAGCAAAGAACGTTCCTTTCCCTACTTCTCATCCACAGATATCTCAAGAGCATCTAATTTAGGGAATGAAGAATTATAAGAATTACAATAACATAGCTACAGTAATAGAAACATAACTTGAGTGGTTAACTATATAAGATTTCAAACTAGTTTTTATTCTTCCAGTTAATTACTGGAAGTGATATCAAGTGTACCAGTACGTATTTTCTCTTGATATTAACGTGTACTGTCCAATACAGTTACTGTTGACTGTGGTTACTAGCCACTTGTGATTACTGACCACTTGAAATGTGCCTAGCCAGAATTGAAATCTCAAAAATTTATTAAGAACAAAAGAACGGGCTGAGCATGGTGGCTCATGCCTGTAATTCCAGCAATTTGGGAGGCCAAGGCGGGCGGATCACCTGAGGTCAGAAGTTTGAGACCAGCCTGGTCAATATGGTACAACCCCATCTCTACTAAAAAATACAAAAATTAGCTGGGGGCAGTGGCAGTTGCCTGTAGTCACAGCTACTCAGGAGGCTGAGGCAGAAGAATCACTTGAACCTGGGAGGCAGAGGTTGCAGTGAGCCGAGATTGTGCCATTGCACTCCAGCCTGAGTGACAAGAGTGAAACTCTGTCTCAAAAAAAAAAAAAAAAAAGAACAAAAGAATGAAGATATCTCAAAAATTGTTCAGCTTGATTACCTGTTCAAAGGATAATATTTTAAATAATATTAGGCTAAATAAAGTATATTATTAAAATTCATTTCATGTTTCTTTTTACTTTTTTTAATGTGTAGACAAGAAAATTAAAAATTACATATTTGGTTTGCATTGTATTTCTACTGAACTGCACTACTTTAAACAAACGCCAGCATATTTGGCCTTAACAGTTTTTATTCCAAATTTATGATTAAATCTGACTTACCTTCATCTTCCCATAATCCTAAAATTTACAGTAGAAATAGTACATCATGAAGTGTAACAAATTTCATATTGCCATCCAACTCATAAAACTTTCATTAGCCCCATCCCTAAGAATACACCCCCCAAATACCATGAGAATCAAGTTAATATTTTCAATGGAGGCAAGAGTGCCAACGAAACTACTAAGAAGCCGGGTGCGGTAGATTGCTTAAGCCCAGGAGTTTGAATCCAGCCTGGGTAACATAACAAGATCTCGTCTCTAAAAAAAATAAGACCAGGCAACTCTAATCCCAACATATGGGGAGGTCAAGGCAGGAGGACTGCTTGAGGTCAGGAGTTCGAGACCAGCCTGAGATATATAGTAAGACCCCCATCACTACAAAAAAATTTGTTGAAACAAACAAAAAAAAAATTGAGATAATTTAAAAATTAATCTTTGAATGGGTAATATATGAAATATAAAAATAAAAGGCACAAAAGGATTTATTTTATTTTATTTTTTGAGACAGTTTTGCTCTTGTCACCCAGGCTGGAGCGCAGTGGCATGATCTCACTCACTGTAACCTCCGCCTCCCAGATTCAAGTGATTCTCCTGCCTCAGCCTCCCAAGTAGCTGGGACTACAGGCACCTGCCACCATGCCCGGCTAATTTTTGTATTTTTAATAGAGATGGGGTTTCACCACGTTGGCCAGGATGGTCTCGAACTTCTAACCTCAGGTGATCCACCTGCCTTGGCCCCCCAAAGTGCTGTAATTACAGGCGTGAGCCACCACACCAAGCACAAAAGGATTTAAAATGAAAATTAAGTCTCTTTCCCGCCATTCCCAGGCACTCAGTTCTTCACTCAGGAGGCAGCACTGTTACCAGTTTCTTATGAATCCTTTCAGAAATAGCCTGTGTATATACAAGCACATATGCATATATAATGGTCTTTAAAAAGCTAAATAGTGGAATACCAAATACATAAAATAGTGCTGATAAATAACAGGTACTCAATAAATACTTGTAGATGAATGAATAAATTATTCTATATCTTGCTTTTTTACTCAATATATCTTAGATTTCTTTCCATAGTAATATGTGTAGAACTGCCTCTTTATTTTTCCACAATTGCATTCTATACCATTGTATGACTATATCATAATTTATTTGGCTGATCTCATCTTGATAGACTCTTATATTGTTTACAATCTTTTGTCTCAGGAATAATGTTGCAAGAAAAAAAAAACATTCAACACTTCTTCAGGCATATAGTTAAGTGTATCCGAATGAGAAATTTCTAGATGAGAGCTTTCTAGGCAAAGATAATCTGTATTTTTAATTTTGATAAACACTGTAAATTTGCTCTCCACAGAGGTTGCACCAACTTATAATTTTCCCTATTAATACATGAATAACTATTTCCTTGTATCCTTATAAATACATTGTCAAAGTTGAAAAAGTTTCTTTTTGTTGTTTTTATATGGAGTTTCACTCTTGTTGCCCAGGCTGGAGTGCAATGGCATGATCTTGGCTCACTGCAACCTCCACCTCCTGCGTTCAAGCAATTCTCTTGCCTCAGCCTCCAAGAAACTGGGATTACAGGCATGTGCTACCATGCCTGGCTAATTCTGAATTTTTAGTAGTGACTACGTTAGTCAGGCTGGTCTTGAACTCCTGAACTCAGGTGATCTGCCCACCTCGGCCTCCCAAAGTGCTGGATTACAGGTGTGAGCCACTGTGCCTGTTCGAAAAAGTTTTATAATAAAATCTGGTAGGTTAAAAATAAAATCTCATTTTAGCTTTAATGTACATTTTCTTACTCTGAGTAAGATTCAATATTTTTTCTCATTTTTTTTCTATGTGAACTTTATTTATGATTTTTGGCTATTTTAAAAATTGGGCTATTCATCTTACTTTTATTTATCTGTGGGACCTTTACATTTATTGAAGAACTTTGACCTCTGTCTATTGTATGCATTAATATTTTTCTTTAGTTTGTAGTTTGGTTTTTGGTATTATAATTTTTATGGCATTTTATAAATTCACCAATTTTTCCTTCTGTGGTTTTTCTTTTCTTTTTCTTTTTGTCTTTTTTTTTTTTTTTTTTTGTAGAGACAGAGTCTCTCTATGTTGCCCAGGCTGGTCAGGAACTCCTTGGCTCAAGTAATCCTCCCACCTAGGCCTCCAAAGTGATTATTTTTGGTCACACTTAGGCCTATTACAACAAAACTATACAAGTTTTTCCTACATTTTCTTTAAGAACTTTCATATATTCATATTTAGTATTTGACTCATTTGGAGTTTAATTTTCTCAGAAATAAGGTAGAAACCCAACTTGGTGTTTTCTCAGTTTTCCCAGCACCATTTATCAGTTTTATCCCCACTTGGATGAAATGCCACTTTTTGCACATACCAAATTCCCATATGAATTGAATCTATTCTGACTGTCTAAGTTCCATCAATCAGTCTGTGTACCCATAAGCCTGTCATACATGTGATTATAGTAGCTATATAACATGCATATTATCTGATGGGGTAGTTCCTTCTTTCCCTTCCCAGAATTTTCTTAGATCTCATATGTCTTTCCTGATAAACTTCAGAATCTATTTGTATATTACCCCAAAACAAACAAATAATAACCTGATAGAATTTCCGAGGGTCCTTTAAAATATACAGTCTGGTAGGAGAGTTGGCATCTTTCTAATATTTAATCTTCCCATGCAAAAATAGAGACTGCATTTTCACTTATAAAAGCCTGCCTTCATATCCCTCAGTAATACTCACAAATTTCTTCAATTAATTATGTTGTACATTCCTTCTAAAGTATATGCCAAGGTCGGGCGCAGTGACTCAAGCCTGTAATCCCAGCACTTTGGGAGGCTGAGGTGGGCACATCACCTGAGGTCGGGAGATCAAGACCAGCCTGACCAACATGGAGAAACCCCGTTATCTGCTAAAAATACAGAATTAGCCAGGCGTGGTGGCACATGCCTGTAATCCCAGCTACTCGGGAGGCTGAGGCAGGAGAATCGCTTGAACCCAGAGGGAGGCTGCAGTGAGCTGAGATTGCACCATTGCACTCTAGCTTGGGCAACAACAGTGAAAACTCTTGTCTCAAAAAAAAATCCAAAAATTAAAATTTAAAAAAAAGGATATACCTACTTATTTTTTCTTTTTTGTTGCTATTGTATGTGAGGTATTTTCTTTCATCACTGTTTATAGTAATTTTTAGTCATTCTCTTGGGTGTTTTAAACATACAATCAAATCATCTGTAAACAATGATATTTTACTTTTTTTGCTTGTTTGTTTGAGACAGGGTCTTACCCTGTCGCTCAGGCTGGAGTGCAGTGGCACCATCTCAGCTCACTGCTGCCTTAACCTTCCAGGCTCAAGCGATCTTCCCACCTTTGCCTCTCGAGTAGCTGGGACTACAGATGCATGCCACCATACCTGAATAATTTCTTTTTTATTTGTAGAGATGGGGTTTCACTGTGTTGCCCAGACTGGTCTCAAACTCTTAAGCTCAAACAATACACCTGCCTTGGCCTTCCAAAATGATGGGATTAACGGCCTACCTTTTCTTTTCCAGTGATAAATATTTTTTTTTCTCTTACTTAAGTGCATAGTTTGCATCCTTTTCCAGGTCCTGACATTAATAGGAACGCTTACACTTTTTGCCTATTAAGCATCAACTTGGTTTTTGAGTTGAGACATACATATTTTATCATGTTATGTTAAAGAAGTAATCATCTAATCCTACACAATTAAGAGTTTCAAAAAACTCAGACAAAATTCTGTATTTTCTTCTCAATGCCTGCTGATGTCTTAAGTATCACTAAATTTGTACAAAAATAATTTTTATAAACACTATTAAGGGCTGGACACAGTGACTGATGCCTATAATCCCAGCACTTTAGGAGGTGAGGCAGGAAGATCTCTCGAGGCCAGGAGTTCAAGACCAGGCTGGGCAACGTAACAAGACCCAGTCTCTACAAAAAATTTAAAAATTAGCCAGCTGCAGTGGTGTATGTGTGCAGTCCTAGCTACTCAGGAAGCTGAGGCAGGAGGATTGCTTGAACCACTACAAAAATATTAAGTAATCGTTTAACTATTTAAATTAATGCCCTTTTCAAAAAACAAAAAACAAAAACACAAATGAAGATTTATTACTACTTCTTTGTAAGGAATCTAATTCTTACCTAAAATATGGCCAGCAGGACAGTGGCATTTTCCTTCGGCAGTTAAGCCACTAGGGCAAGAAATGCAGTTCCAGCCATCTTCTGTAACACCTTTCTAAATTAAAAGAAAAAAAAAAGCTTTTCTCTTTTTTAATTAACTTTCTTCTTCATAACCATGTAAGTTCAAAATGCCATAAGAGTATATAACTGCAGTGAATATTCAAATAAATCATACATATATGAGCCACATAAAAATTCCCTGGAGAGATAATTCATGCTTATATTCCAAAATTAAGCTCTATATTATTACTATGTCCTGACAACTATTAAAGGATTAACTGTGGATAATAGTTCTCTCTTCTTCAGGATCTTTAATTCAAATGGATGCCTACTTTCATAATTATTTGTCATTTAGTTTTTCTGTTTACAAATATAAAACACAACACAACACAAAAAGATTGAATCAATAGTCAGTTAATAGGTTAATCTCACCTGTTCTAAAACATTATTCTAATTTTTAAAAATTCAAATACATAAAAAATTTAGTCCAGGCATGGTGGCTCACATCTGTAATTTCAGCACTTTGAGAAGTCAAGGTGGGTGGATCACTTGAGACCAAAAGTTTGAGGCTAGCCTGGCCAACGTGGTGAAACCTCGTCTCTACTAAAAATACAAAAATTAGCTGGGTGTGGTGGTGTATGCCTATAATCCTACTTGGGAGGCTGAGGCACCAGAATGGCTTGAACCAGAAAGGTGGAGGTTGCAGTGAGCTGAGATCACACCACTGTACTCCAGCCTGGGCAACAGTAATACTCTGTCTCAAAAAAAAAAAAAAAATTCATTTATGATTCAAAATGGGTAAATTTTATGAAATATAAATTATACACAGTCGTTGAAATTGATTTATGGAATATTTTCTTCTATCCATTTATGGCTTGTACTAGTACACTTTTTTTTTTTTTTTTTTTGCAATGGGAAGAGAAGGGATAAATACTGAAGGGATTTACTCAATAAATGTCCATCACAGAGTTTTCCTTTTTTTTTTTTTTTTTGAGACAGTCTTCGCTCTGTCACCAGGCTGGAGTGCAGTGGCACGATCTCGGCTCACTGCAAGCTCCACCTCCCGGGTTCAAGGGATTCTCCTGCCTCAGTCTCCCGAGTAGCTGGGACTACAGGCACATGCCACCATGTCCAGCTAATTTTTGTATTTTTGGTAGAGATGGGGTTTCACCACGTTTGCCAGGATGGTCTTGATCTCCTGACCTCTTGATTCGCCTGCCTCGGCCTCTCAAAGTGCTGGGATTACAGGCGTGAGCCACTGCGCTCAGCCTGGTAAAGGTTTTTGATAAAGTATGACAGCATTCAAAATTGGGCTTATTATATTATATGGTTTAGGAAAAGCCTGGGGCAACAAACACAATAATTACAAACACAGTTGTACCCAAAGTTCATAAAGTACAAAAATAATGCCACAAATTATTTTAAATTTTGGTTGAAAAGACTGAATTTATCAAGAAATACTCCTATTTTGCAATACGTTTATATAGGACTATTTATTTATTTATTTATTTATTTATTTTTTGAGACAGAGTCTCACTTTGTCACCCAGGCTGGAGTGCAATGGTGCGATCTTGGCTCACTGTAACCTTCGCCTCCTGGGTTCAAGTGATTCTCCTGCCTCAGCCTCCCAAGCAGCTGGGACTATAGGTACACGCCACCATGCCCAGCTTATTTTTGTATTTTTAGTAGAGATAGAGTTTCACCATATTGGCCAGGCTGGTCTCCCGAGCTCATGATCCACCGGCCTCAGCCTCCCAAATTGCGGGGATTACAGGCATGAGCCACCATGCCTGGCCTATATAGGACAATTTAAAGATTACAATAACTTAAAAAATGTCACTGAAAAACAAAATGCTTAGCAGCATTTTATCATGGGTAATTCAGGTAGGATCAACATCTGCAAAGATATAAAATAAATGGTAACCTATTATAATCTATTATAAAGATGTAAAATAAATGGTAATATAAAAAATGGTAATCAGACCTACAAGTAATACAGATAGCTGTAAATCAGGACAATTGATAACTTCATATTAAATTCCCAGAATTAATATTTTTTATATGACGAGAAAAAACATTACTGTAAATGTCAGACTGTTACACAGACTTTTAATTATCCAACATGATTGAAAAATATATTTGTTAATTGAGAATTATCATATATAGTAACTACTAATTTTTCAAAAATTATGATATAATGAAATTACCAACAAAACAGAAACAGACATTATTTAACCTATTTATTAATGCAATTGGTATTTCATGAAATAATTACACCTCAGATATCATTATGAACATCAATCATCATATAAACTGTTGACATGGTAGGTCTAAGACAACTCCATTTGCATCAGTCAAAGAATATACACATCCCAAATTGCACACATCCCAAACTGCTCTATATATTCCTTATTCATCTAATTTTCTTCTTAATCGAGTTATTCTATGAGTAAAAACAAAAACTTAAATTTTTACAGCTTTGTGGTTTTTGGGATTTCAGATTTTAAAAGAAATACATTTCTGTTTTCTCCAAGTTTGCATAAAATTTCGCTGATTTCCCAAAACTTACTCTAGTAAAAATAAAGTTAGCATAGTAATTTTAAAGTTTGTGGGGAAACATTAAACATTAAATTATAGTTTGAAAAATAAAGATATTTAACTTATTACTTTTACAGTTAAGTTATTTTAAAATAAATTATGCATACCATGTTTTCTGGGCACTTTTTACAAATAACAGCAGGTCCTCCATTATTAGAGATCATCTGAAATCCTGGTAGACATACACATGAAGTTCCTAAAAAAAAAAAAAAAAAAGCCAACTTTATCCTTGATAAATAAAAATAAAGTTCCAAGATAGTGAAACTTTTAATAAGTCTGAAGACCTTGAGAAGCAGTATAGTGATTAACAGCAGGATTCTGGAGCCACTACTGCCTGGGTTCAAATCCAGAAACATACTTCTTGAGTTCCAATCTTAGTACTCCTACTCGGTTGCATGACCTTGAACAAGTTACTAAACTCTCTGCCTTGGCTTCCTCTACAATAAAAAGGAGAAAAAAAATCGGTATCTACCTCATAGTATTAGTATGAGCATAAAATTAGTTATTATACGTAAAGGTCTTAGACTGTCACACAGCTGGTATTGTGTTGCTACCATTTTAAGCGCAAGTATAACTAAACTATTAAACTACTTAACTGCTGCTGGAAATTTTACATTTCTACGTCACTAAACAATATATATGTATTCGGGCCAGGCGCGGTGGCTCACGCCTGTAATCCCAGCACTTTGGGAGGCGGAGGCGGGTGGATCGCCTGAGGTCAGAAGTTCGAGACTAGCCTGATCAACATGATGAAACTCCATCTCCAGGGACTAGGGATCGACCAAGGCGGGAGTGTTACTTTTGCCAGGACCCACCTCAAACCGTCTTACCTCGGGCATCCTGCCTCTGGTTAACTCCACACGGAACACAGGAGAGCGCGGAGATATCAAAGTACTGGTTGTTGTCGCACTTCTCCGGCTGCTGGAAAGGGAAAGAGAAGGTCTGGGCCTGTAAGAAGCGAGGGAGGGACAACAGGAGGAACACGGTCACGGCCCGGGCAGATAAGAGGTACCAAGCCGCCATTGCCACCTCAGCCCCACCGCGCGTCGCCATGGTACCGACGCTGGCAGCCTCACAGGCGTCAGTCCCCCATCAGCCTCTGCGGCAGCTCCGCTGAGCTGATTGGACAACCCAAGTCTGGGTACCGGAAGTCACTGCTGGTGTTGCTTGGTTGCTAGGTTACCAACCCTGCGCGAAGTTGGCAGGTCCAGTAAAGAGTAGGTTAGAGGCCGGCTAACCCTGACGCCCAGCGGTATTTTCAAAAGTGTATAGAGTTCCTCTACTTACGATAGGGCTGCCTCCTCCCCTCAATAAACCCATCGTAAGTTGGAAATATCATAATTTGTCGAGTTATATTTACATCAGAATTTATTCAGACTAGGTAATTTTCACGTTAAAGGAAACATGACTTGTAGTTTAACAATTTGATGTCAAAAAAAACCCACTGACTTAAAACCTAGTGAAGGATTACTATAGCTTAAGCACTGAAAAAATAAAAAATTTTTCCTGCCAGGTTTGAGCATAGGAAATCATGTATGTGAGACAAAGTAGGAAACGGAAGAAATCATGTTTGCTCATTCTGTTGCCAGCGGAATTTCACAAAGCCCCTGATTCAGTGACTGAACACAGTCCTCCAGAAGAATGCCCTGAAGACAGTAAGAGGATAGAGCACAGGTTTCCACAACTGTTGCTTGAATCACTTCATTTTCTAAAAAAACACGTTCAGTGATCCTAGCTCTTGCCTCTTTCTGTACGTAAGATAACGTCTGACAGGATTAAAGATTATGCCTCTGTAACCTATAATCAGATGTACTCTCCAACCAAAACTTTGATGAGATTTTGCTCCAGTGTAACTTCTGAGCATGTTTAATGTAACTTTTGAGCACATGCAGAACTCCATCGCTTGATAATAGAAACTGTGGGCAGAACCGCTGCTTTGGAGCAGTATAACATAAACTCTCTGAACGACTCCCCAGTGTTGCATTCCTCAGTAAGACTCCAAATAAAACTAACTTTGAGTCTTTAAAAGCCTTATTTTTTTCTTTAGTTGACATGTATATAAAATGAGATCACCTTTACACCTCTTGTGAATAAAAGAATCTAAGCCTGGTGCTGTGGCTCACGCCTCTAACCCTAACATTTTGGGAGGCCACCGCAGAAGGATTGTCTGAGCCCAGGAATTCAAGACCAGCCTGGGCAACATAGTGGGACTCCACCTCTACGAATAAAATTTATTTTAATTAGCTGGGTGGGTGGCACATGCCTATGGTCCCGGCTACTTGGAAGGCTGAGGCAGGAGAACCATTTCAGCCCAGGAGGTCAATGAGCCCAAAGGCTGCAATAAGCTGTGATCGTGCCACTGCACTCCAGCCTGGATGTCAGAGACCCTGTATCAAAAAAAAAAAAAAAAAAAAAATCCTGGACAAATATATGGAAACTTTTAGAGTTAGAGACCACTTGCAAGGCTAAGGTAGAAATCTAGAGTCTAAATTGGAGCCATGGAGGAAAGGAGAGGCAGGAGAGGATGAATAAAGGAGCTATTCAGGAAGAAGAATTATGAGAATTTTATGATTTGGACATAGGAAGTAAAGAAACAGAATCAAGGATAACTTACAGGTTTCTGATTTGGGTGGCTGGGTAAATGGTTGTGATATTAAAGGAAGATACCTGTGGCAGATAGCTTCTAAGCGAAAACTTATTGGGTAAATAAAATTTTAAGGTAGAAATGAAAGTTATAGGAATATTTAACATGGTGGGGCGCTGGGGGGTGAATAATAATAGAAATAATAGGTATTAATAGCTTGTTTTTGTTATCAAGCAAATGAGCTCTGTATCCAATGTGCGCACAGAAGCTAATACTATGTGGCACAAGCTTTTGAGGAAAAAAAGGCTTTATTTGCACAACTGTTCAGCAAGGATATAGGAGTGCATTCAAATCTGTCTCCCTGATTTGGCGTCTGGGGTAAACTCATGGGCTTGGAAAGCCAAGGGAAAGGATTTACGAATGTGTCCTGGCAGGCTGATTGGAGGATTTAAATTTGACCATTTAGAAAAAGGTATGTAGAGGCCGATTTTAGGCCCGATCCTCCAGTCAAATGGACCCATCACTTTTGAAAGAGTTCCAAGTTCAGGTTCCAGTCATGTCCTGGTCTTCTTGGTTCCAAGGAAAGGATTCATTGGTTTTGGGTGTTGTTAGAGGTCCAAGCTTTTTCTATTGTACACGACTGGGCTACATGGCTTGCAGTTTTTGGCTCTGTTATATCTAAAAGGTAACACGATATTTTGTTATCAACAGGGTAGGCCCAGTTTGGACTAGTCCCATGGAGACACTTTTAATGTGTCCGGTATTGCAATATCTCATTTGATCCTAAATTGGGACTGTTATCATCACCTTTAATTTACATGAAATAACCAAGGCTTTGAAAGTATAAGTGACTCTCTAAGGTCACACTTAATTCATGGTTCTAACCCTGTTAATTTGACACCAGAGCCCATACTTTTCTTCAGTTTGTTGTTGTTGTTGTTTTAAACTTTAATTTAGGTTCAGAAGTACATGTGCAGGTTTGTTATACAGGTAAATTGAGTGTCTCGGGGGCTTGGGGTACAGATTATTTCCTTACCCATGTGATAAGCATAGTACCCAATAGGTAGTTTTTTGATCTGTACTCTCCTTTCACCCTGCATCCTCGAGTAGCACCCAGTATCTATTGTTCCCTTCTTTGTGTCCATCTGTACCCAGTGTTTAGCTCCAACTTACAAGTGAGAACACACAGTATTTTATTTTCTTTCCTGTGTTAGTTTGAGATAGGAGGTTGGCAGGACCGATTTCACAGGATAAGGTCATAAAGACCTGGCTGATAAAACAGGATAGGTAAAGAAGAGGACTGAAACCTGCTAAAACCAAGATGGTGACCAAAGCGACCTCTGGTCATCCTCACTGTTCATTATATGCTAATTATAATGTATTAGCATGCTAAAAGACACTCCCACCAGCACCATGACAGTTTGCCCATGCCATGCCCACTTAGAGAAGTTACCCTATATGGTCTAACAAGGGAGGACACTCTTTTCCAGGAACTCTCCACCTTTTTCCTGGAAAACTCATGAATAATCCATCCCTTGTTTAGCATATGATCAAGGAATAACCATAAATATACTCAGTCTAGCAGCCCATACCATTGCTCTGCCTATGAAATAGCCACTCTTTATTCCTTTACTTTCTTAACAAACTTGCTTTCACTTTATTCTGTCAGATTGCTCTTGAATTCCTTCCTGCATGAAGCTGAGAACCTACATGGCCACTCAGGCTGAACCCTAATTTTGAGGTTTGTTCTGTGACAAGTTCGCTTTGGATAATGCAGAGCCCACACTCTTAAGTCCTGTTTTTTATTGTTGCCTTTGAATCTCTGGATGTGCTTTTCTGGGCAGGAATAAAGAAAAGCTAAAGGCAAGTAAGTTCAAGACGAGATTAATGAATTAAAATATTACAAAGAAGGTGAAAAACAGAAGTGGAGGTTGTGCAGAAAGGGGAATTAGGGAGGTTCAGATCTTACAGCTGGGGTACTTTGTGTGGTGAACCCTGTGCTTATTCCCAATCTCCAGACACTTAGTGCCCTTTTGATTTGTTAACCTTTTGTGTGTAACTTGTTTTTTACTCACTTGAAGTCTTCAGGATGTTCCTCTCTATGCCCCACCTTCTCATTTTTCTTAATTTTACAGTGATATATCTGGGTATGTTTCATTGTCATCTTTTGTGTGGAACACGTGTTGTAACGTTGCAATCCAGCAAAGAAACTCATGACCTTTAAGACTGGGAAATGATTTCTTCTATTAACTATTCCTTTGAAGACTTTCTCTCCATTTTTTTTT